AAATTTTTCCCTCTATCAGCTATTGCATTTTAGTCACTTGAGACCTAGCAGGACCTACATTACTGATAGCTCTATAAAACTGTTGCTTTTGTACAGAAATTACAATTCTTTTTGACATTATGCAGCTAGCTACTGTCTGGCTACTGTGGATATTGCTGAAATTGTAGCATGGCATCAAGGAGCTCAGTGCAAAAAAAAAAATAATACCCAAATGCTTACTTTGCATTTTGACAGAGTTCTGTGCAAGGCTATGCTGTTAGCAGAACTAACACTACCCAATTTAAACATAGACAAGATTTGTTTATATTGATGGCATCTCTGCAAGACCTTTTACATGACTCTGTAATTGTCAAGCGGGTTGTATATTGGTGCGGTTTAAACATAGTTTAGCTTATTCTGGTAAGGTACAAAGGAACTCAAATAGTGTAATAAACTTTTACAGTAGATGAGATGCAGCACTGCAATTTTAACTTTACTGATGCTGACATATAAATAAACTTACATTTTTTTAAATTGGATATTCTAAATATAGGTATTGCATTCAAATGCAGTGTATGTTGTTTTCAAAAACAATTTTGAAATAGAATGATGGTATACTGTATGTGGGGACAACGAAAAGAAAAACCAATTAAAGCTGTTTCCGTACGGCAAATGTAGACCAAAGTAAGGAAATCAATCACACTAACAAAAAAATCTATCAAACAAAAATGCACAGAAAACCTAAAAATTTCTTATCAGGTATCGTACATCTTCCTCTCACTGTTAGAAAATTCCACCCTTAATTATTCCTGAAATGAGTTCTGATATGTTTCCTATTGTATGTATCACATTTATTTATGGTTATATAGTAGCATCAGATAAAAATGCTAAGACCAAATCAAAGTACAGAAAATATTGCAAACTGCCTGTGTTAATTACATGCTGTAAAAGTGCTAGCTTTCCAAGAAAAAGCAATTTCCAACTTCCAAAACCTTGCTATTATTTTTATAAAATGAAAAATACAAAGAAAATGAAATAAGAAATCTGAAAGTTCCAGTATACTATTTTTGATTAACATTATCTACAATTCTAAGACAGTTCATTAAATAGAAAAAAGATTTTTTTTTACATAAAGCAAGACAGTACAAAAGCACAGCTTTTGTAATTTTGGTAATATTGCAGTTTTACAAACATATTGCATAGTATGTGTAAGAAAATAGTTCCCATCTTTTTTGTATGTCTATATACACAACAAAATCATTAACATGGAGGTTACAAAACAAAAATGGTTAGCAGACCTTTACTGAGTACTGATTGAAACAATATAACACTCAATCTTTGATTGAACTTACATGTGCATTACAGTGAATCAACTGATAACAATTAATAATGTTTATGGTGTTTTGTGTTTTTTTTAGACTTTTTTTTTCTTTTTTTTTTAATTTATTTAGACAATGATTTAGAATCTAAACCAAAAATTCCCAAACATAAAAAAGCCCCCATGGTGCTAGCAACTGAATATCTTAGAACATCCTTCATTACATCCTTCTAGATATTTATGGCTATATCTTCAGACCTACTAGCCCTCTGCATCTAGAATGGTTTGAAGTGAATTCTGTTATCCAGTCAAGCCACTGTTTTGCAAGAAAACCAGTATAACTTCAACTGAAACAAGCAATGTCTTGGCTTGTTTTGGAATATATACTCTTTCATTTCCTTAGGAACACTGAAGATGCTTGTATGCATGAAAAGTAATGTAATTGCACCACCTGACAAAAAATTAAAATCCTGGAAAAAAGTGAACAATCTACAGCTCAAAATGCTGCACAAATCTAAACTATGTTACAATTTCATGTTGTAATTACAACTTGTCATCTCTTCATTCCAACAGAATTAGTAGAAGCAGCAGTGTTATAGTGTTAGAAGTGTCAGTCTTTGGTCTTATCACTTAATGAATGAACTGCAATACAAAACCATACAGCTAACAGTGCTCAGAGGTTGGCTGATGCTTTTATTTTATTTTTTTATTTTTTTAACAAGAAAGAGACAGTATCCTGTAATATTATGACACAGATGTTTTTACAGAGATGAACCTACTGTATTAAATACATGTAGCTAATAAGGTCTTTCCATATATTTCACTGTTGTTATAAGGATAGCGCTGAAGAAGTTAAACAGCTGCAATACCATCTTAGAGGTTTCCATACAAACATTCTAGTACAAAAAGAAGCTTTATTTGATACATGTATTCATATACTATAAAAAAAAATCAGAGGAAAATTTTAGATGCTTTTTTTTTTTTAATTGCACTAACATTAGTGCTTAAGAATACCCTAAGATCTTAATTTTTTTCCCTACAATTGTCACAACAGAGTGATTTCTTAGTGGGAAACTCCTGCCTTAACCAGAATAAGTGACATCTCTTTTCTAAAATACACAATCAAAATATTCAGGCAGATAAACTACCTAGAGAAGCATTCACTGGGGCTTAATCATAACTTGTCAAATATAAATAGCCAGCAAAGACAGAAGTAATTTGGAGACAGGGCCAGGAATGTATGATGAAGGTGATAAAAATAATCTGAAAATATCTTGTGGCTTTGTAAAAAATCACCTCAGCATTATAAAACCATCACTGAAATAGCAGAGCTATGGTTCCGTGTTTAAATATATTTGCACTAAGATCTTCTAGTTTCCTTCCATCTGAAATGAGATTGTGGAATTATATCATATTTTGTCATATTTTGGGGGCATACTGTAAGTGGAACAACTCTGCCATTGAGATTTTCGCTATTGCCAGCTCCAAACAATCAAAACCACTGGGTCTGTTTCTCCTTCCACTCAGGAATGATGATGCTGCTTACAGATTATTAGTGCTTTAATTTTTTTAGTTCTCTAAATGCATCGAAATCACTTTTTCCAATACTCTCTGAAATCATGTGGACTAGAAATATTCTTTAAAATAAAACCTGAGATTTTCCCTTTTTTACAGTTTGCAATGGATTTAAAGTAAAACATCGATATTACGATATTAATCAGAATATTAAGACATTATGAGAACTCATTATGCTATTTCATGGGTTGCTGAAGCTCTCAAATACTCTCTACCTTAGAATGAAGGGACTCCAAGCAAGAAAATCCTGATGGTGCAGAGCTATGTGGGACTTACTGGCTTGGTTTTGTTGAGTCCAGTGTACCACCCGCACCTTTGCCCTTACTTTTCTTCATACAAAGTGGTAAATTATTCCAGCCTTTCTTTTAAAATTAATCTACTAACAAAAGATATTTTCTCCTACCTGCCTAAGTTTGTGTAAAATTTGTAAAGGTTGGGTCTTTTCATCCAGAGGGCAAAAACCTTTTTCATATGTATTACAGGTGAGTAATCGCACAGGGTAAGGAGCAAACAAATAAGAAATTCTCAGTGGAAAATTTGACAAAGTATCAGCAAGCCATCCTGTGGGTTTATTTGAGGAGAGAAAAACATCCTAGTCTACTGTGTGCAATTTGTAAGAAGCCACAATTTATTCACCAAATAGATTAGTCACTATAACCTGCTAATCTTTTAGGCTGCCAGTGCATGCTGATGTGCACAGAAATGAATACATATAGATGTGTCCTCATACAGATCTATATACTTTCCTCCTGAATACTATTTGTCCACATATTCTATTCTTCGTGTGCATTAGAAAAAGACATCTGTTTCCCTACGGTTTTAAGGGTATATTGTACAGCTACACTTTCTAATGTTTTATTATCAACTTCTTTGTCACATGTATCTCTTTTGGTCCCTCCTACTAAAAATCTTCAGTCTTTTAATATATTTTCTAATATTTTCTTTTCAAGTAGAATAAAATTCTCAATGAAATAACAAATCAGCTGTTAACAGCCTTAGTTTAAAGAGATAAAATAATAAATTAGAAATCTTCATTTAACTGGTAGAAACAGCAAATGCAGAATTCTTGCTATGGGGGGAAATTCACACCTCTGAAGAGGGCCAATGAAAAGGGAAGCACCAGTCAAGCTATGGACATATCTTGTGCTGGACCTCTGCACAGGAGTGAATTTCACCTGAAGTGAAAACAAAATCAACCTTATTGGATGGTAATGAAATGCAAAGGTGATCACAGTATTAGTTTGTTCATTTTCATATTTTTCTCTAAGACAAAAACAACCAAAAAGCCCCCTGTGTAGAAATACCCATCTTACACTGCCCTGACTTTAGAGTTACCTTGCAAAAGTCATCATTGCATTTGGTGGTGTTACAATCTGAGGCCTCTAAAGGTTCATGATAGCTGATATAATTTGAAGGACAGAATTAAAAAGCACACCTACCTCATGTAATCAAGCCATCTTCCACATTAGCAAACATTTTTATACTGTTTTACATTCCTGGGTTCTGCAAGTTTCAAGATACTCTTGTTAATCAATGTTATGATAAATTTCCTAGCAGCATACAAAGCATTTTTTATAAAATTTCAATTACCAACTAAGCCAAACAAGATGAACATTGATACAAGAAGGAAATCCCACATGCCAAGGAAGAAAGCGAGTAGTGAGATCTGAGTGCAAGTGGAGCTGCATAATTTAAACACAGACCTGATAAAGTTAATGCAATAGCAATGTACTTTTTAATACTGAATGTCATTTAATGTGTGTTTTTATATATATTACTTTGAAAACCTTTAGCAGCAGATGGTAAACAAAAAAGAATAATAAATGGGAATGTGATACCAATTGTTAGTGTACTGCTTCTCAGCATTACGGGTACAAATTGGAGCACAAGAGGTTCCACTTAAACCTGAGAAGAAACTTCTTCTCAGTGAGGGTGACGGAACACTGGAACAGGCTGACCAGGGAGGTTGTGGAATCTCCTTCTTTGGAGACATTCAAAACCCGCCTGGAAACGTTCCTGTGTAACCTTATCTAGGTGTTCCTGCTCCGGCAGGGGGATTGGACTAGATGATCTTTTGAGGTCCCTTCCAATCTCTAACCTACTGTGATACTGTGATACTGTGATTACACATTACATTAATACTGAGGTTTGTACTGTGTTCAAATGGCAGCAGTTAGGTGTAGCTAGAAAATGGACAAGATGTTCCTTTGAAGATTTTTCTCTTGGTTTTGCATTTGCCAATTATAAATACCTTGTGAAGAGTAATACACTGTTCAACAAACACACCATCAGTATTTCTGCCTTTGCCCTGTCCTTCTTTTCCACAAACTGTATGTTCTACTTAAAGCAATCGCTTCACATGCAGTAGCCAACACAAATACTATATAAGGCCATTCAGATCTGACAAAAAAAGCAGATGTCTTTTTAACTTTGAAGGATAATATTGCTGAACACTTCCCAAATTTACCTAGTGTACAAAACCCTAGACACTTTTAAAGAAAGCAAACTCGGGGAGGGATTCTGTCTCTTTTTGTGTTAAAAACCATTTACTGAATTTAATTGTTTAGTAAAGCAAGCATCACACAATGCTTTAGAATTTTAAAATTCAGGGATAAAAGTTTACATCCAAAAAGATGAATGGAAAATTGTGCTTTCAGACAGTAAAGTTATCATACAGGGGGAACCAATTCATCTCACCATCAGATTCTGGGCAAATTTGTTTATGTATTGTATATATATATATGCAGTTCATATCCAGGTCCTGCAAAAATCTAAAACTGATGTGCTTCACTTCATGTAGCAAAGGCACCTGTGTTATTCTCCCTTTTGGAAAAAATGTGGTATTATGTTCCATGTTTCCTGATGAGGAATACATCGATTTCTGAGTATCTCACTCCCATCTCTATGTTGAGTGGCAACACAAACCACAAGAGAAGGCAGCGCTGCATTCCTGCTTACAGTGGAAGAAGTTGCTCTGCAGGCCGTTTGAAGCGTCGAACTTGTCACAAGGGAAACCGAGCAGAACTGTGAAGCAGAGGGATAGTAACAAAAGGCTATTCTGGTGTGAGGATAAATTGGAGTCATTCTAGCTCCACAAACAGATGTTGCTACTGGATTGACACGTGGAGCTTGCTCCTGCTGGGGACAGGTAAAGTTTACCACTGGGACAGATGCACAGCTCATAGATAGTCTGGCGAGGAGCTGAAGAGCTGGGTGAGGAGGAGGAGGAAGAAAATGACCCCACTGGTAGATTTCCCAGGCGAATTGTATCTGCGTTTAAAAATATCTACAAGAGGAGGGAAAAAGTAAGTACTTTTTTCTTTAGCACTATGACATTTTAAAGAAGAGTTTTGATGCAGACATAAGTATTTTAGAAATATTTAAAAGTCCCATAGAAATATTTTACTAGAAGTATTAGAAAGATTATTACAAATATTAGCAAAAATATTTTTAGAAATAAAAAGCTGTCAACATTTCTTATTTTTCAGCTCTGGGTAGTTGTATACCCACTACTACTCATTACTGAAGCACATGGAATTGCTTCACCCAATAATTTATTCAGATAAAAGAAGCATCATACAAAAACATTATGACAATATTCTTCATAGAATGGTCTGGGTTGAAAGAGACATTAAAGATGATCTAGTTCCAAAACCATGGATAGGCACACTTTCCATTAGACCTGGTTGCTCAAAGCCCCATCCAGGGATGGGACTGCCACAGCTTCTCTGAGCAATCTGTCCCAGTGTCTCACCACCCCCATGGTGAGTATTTTTCTCCTAATATCTAATCTAAATCTACCCTCTTTCAATCTGAAGCTGTTACCCCTTGTGCTGTCACTACACACCCTTGTAAAAACATCCCTCTCTTGCTCAGGTTGAATTTTCATTTGTACATTTTAAGATTACAATTTACTCATTCATGGCAATAGCATATCCTTGCTCTGGAAGATTTTGTATTTTAGTAAGTGTGAAGTGATATGAAAGCGCATTCCCCAGTGTGTTCCTGTAAGCAGCTGGAAATATGTGCTGAACTGTGCTAAAGTGTAAGGGCTTAACAACAGCTACAGCCAGAGAATAATTAAGTAATGGTACAGAGTCATATGCACAAAATAAAGAGCTTATTTGACCTAAATTAAAAGGAGAAAATATTTCAGGTTAAAGTCTTATTAAGAAGGGCATCAATCTACTTGCATTTGTTTCTGAACATTGAATATGATTAAAACTATTGCCTGGGGTTTTTTTAATCTCCTTCCATTGGAAATAACATAAGTCCAATATGAAACTGTACATACTGGTAATGTTCATGAATCTGCACTGAGTTCTGCAATATTTACACTATGCTACATTTTTGATGTGTCGAATAAACAATGCCATGAAATTTGTAGCTAAAGCAGGAAACCTTCATGTCTTCCACTGGCACAAACACATGAGTCTCCAGCTGCTTAGAATTTCTTTTTTATTTATGGAAGGAGTAAATAAGAGACAAAGTAAGACATTTATTACCTCAGGTGCAGACTAGAAACTTACAGCAGACAGGTAACAAATCAAAATGGCTTTAAGCCCTGCAGATAACAGTGTGAAGCTTAGGAAAAGGTGAGTTCCTTAAATACTTGCTAGTATTATTTCATAAGGTATTGAAAATCAAGAAAGCCAGCTTGAAACCATTTTATCAGTGTTGGCAGGACATGTAAAGAACCTGTGGAGATGTGGCAAGTATTGCATTTTTCTACACAAGACAAGTATTATAATCATTGTATGGCAGAAAAGCAGCACAGAAGCACAACTCAGCTCCTGTTGGATAGTACAGAAAGAGAGCAGGCTGGGAAAAAAATTAAGGCTACTGAAAAAACTCCCGTACAAGGATTGATGCACTGTCATGTTACCATTCACAGCATAAGCATTGCACATGACTGGGATCATCAAAGGAGATACAGGCTTAAAGCAATTCCAAACAATAGAACACCCCCCATTACTGTGAGTTCTCCAGCTCCAGAGTAAAACACTGGAATAGGTGGAAATTTACACTAAAGGGATGCAAAGGGAAAATCTCAGAGGCACAGGTGACAGCTTCATGGCACACTGCCAGTTTAATTCACATCCTGACTGATAGAAAAATTGATTACAAAACTGAAATGCAGCAAATTATCTTTTTCTGTAATTTATATGACAAAGGAAAGAGTCATTTACACACGCATACACACATTGCTGCTTTATAACTCCAGCATCATAGACCTGAAATAATTAGGAGTCAAAACCTCTTCAGAAATAATTTAGATGGAAGAAATGCAGATGGTGTTGGGAACAATTTAATAATATTCTGCTAGAATATTAACTGAAAAAGAAGATTATGCATGCAAAAACATTCAGTTCAGCTAGGAATAAATGTGGAAGTAACTATAGCAAGCATAATAAGAAAATAAAGTAAGATGTGGGAAAAAAAAGAATTTTATAGCAAAATAGAAGCTAGAAATTGGTAAAATGGAAGGAATCAGGACAAAATTGTCAAGTCAGTGCAGCGATGAGTAGTAAAAACTATTCTTTCACTTCTCAGATCAAGAATAAAAGAAATGTTAACAAGTCCAGTATTAATGTAGCAATGGTGGAGTTATCAATAACTTTGCATAAAAATCCAGCGGCATTCAACTGTGTAAGTTCTATGTAAGTCTATCTTTTTTAATGAATAGTGCTCAGCATAGTTCTGTACTTGGAGAAAGATCAAGTGTTGATGTCAGAACATTAATGTGATAAAATATTTTCAATTTTGACAGTTACTCAGCAGGATATTAAATAGGAGCCAGTAATGTCATATACTTTTAATCAGCAGCTCTTAATAACTTTTAACAAATAGATCTCAAAAAAAATTCTGAATAGCCTTTGGGACTTTCAATGGTGATTTTAAAGTCCTGATATAGTATCCAAGAAGAAAAGACTACGTTTACGCTTTTGTTTGAAAAAATGCAAGTAGCAGATATTAGAATATTATATATTTGACAATAAAAGGCTCTTCAGTGTAGAATATCTACATGTAAGAAAATCCAACAATGACATAAGATTACTTGTAGTTTTGACAGACCTTGTGAAGGACCACTTTAACAGTTTAGCTACAGAGGTGATTGGGAAGGATCATGAGAAATCTGTAAGTCAAAACCTGAATGGGTTCTATAGGACATGTCTTGATTCAAACAAGAATTAGATCAAAAAATAAGAGGGAATATGTGTCAGAGATCAGTCTAGATTAAAATCTCTTTAGCTTTATTATCTTTTTTTTCTTAGGAGCTCAATATCTTTATGGTTGTTTACATTAGGACACCTGCTCTTCTGCAGCCCCTCATTGCAGATGTTCTGTAGTGTAGTGCTCTAACACTGTAATCCAGTGACCTTACTCCAGCTTGCATTACAATACAATGTAGCTCAGTTATTTTGCTCATTAAATGATCTTTATAAGTATAGCTGTGCAAGCTTTGCCACTGGTGCTTTCAAATGTCACACTGTGATGTAGCTCAATCCAGGTTTTTCTGGTGTCATAATCCTGAATGGTAGCTAAAAGGTCCTGTCCCAGCATACACCTCGGAATATCTGGTGGACAATGTGGATACCAGGGTATAGTGTCTTGAGAAAAATTCAAGTGGTTTGTTGTGAAGATGTATTTGCTGTGATAATTCTAACAAGCTCTATGTATGCCTTGGCAGAATTCGGAAGCCTGAGCAAATTAAACAGACTCCTATAAATCCCTGGGGAAGCCTGACATGAAGAGGATTAATAAAGATAGCTTAAAGACAGCATTAAAATCTACTCTGTACATATGCTCTCAAGGCTATAAATAAAAGACTAAATTTAGAGTGCAACATTGCTATCTATTACTTAAGCAGGTGTCTAACATATTATCAAGATAGCCCTGACATGTAAGCAGTTTCAGAGGAGCATAGTCAACGTTTGAAAGTATACCTTCTCCCCTCCTACAGTCTATTAAAACCTGAAATTCGTGCCTGGAAAGTCGTGTTTAAAGAGAAGGGAAGAAGTGGCAAGACAAAAACTGAACAGTATTATGTTCCCAGGGAACACTGTTGCTAGATGACAGGAGGTACTAGAAGTTCATATTACACTCAGTCTTTCACCTTTTGTGTGGTGAAAGGTTCAAGATAAGCCATTATGATATTCATCAAGGCCGTGAGACAGTCATGCACTTTCTGAAAATCTCATACCTCAGCAGATAAATAGGCAAGAATAAACCCACAACTTTTATCCATTCTTGAGACATTGTAGGAGACTGACTGACAGCTTACAAAATGGAAAAGGCAGCAACTACTCAGAAATGCTATTTGAGAGCAGAGCACTGAGCAGCAGCATTCCCTCAAAATACTTGGGGTTTAGATCCCTACTTTTTCCTGTGCATCTTAGTGCTGAGAAAAATAAATTAGCCCTATAATAGTTGAAAGTAGAAATGATTTCTGACTAATTAAAGTAGCAAACTGATTCAACCTGTAGGGCTTTTCACACACATTTTTGCTAACAGAGATCTGCAAGTCATCTGTTCAACAGACTGTTAACCTGCACATTGAGAGGAAGATAAACCAAAATATAGATTATCTACAAACCAACAACTTTCAGTGAGAAAGATATAGGCATGGCGTAAAAGATTAAATATTCCTACAAGCCATTTCATACAAAGATACAAACCTGCCATGTATAAAAGTTCTCTGCTAGGTCCTTGACTAAGTCTTCTCAAGAGAGGAGATGACAGGCTAAGTTAATAAAGCCAAATGGAAAAGTTAGGGGTTATAAATATTGAAAAATTCTTTGTATCATGTACAGTTTGATTAGAGAGGTAATTCTACAGAGCTGCAAAGGCATCTTTCAGGGCTAGTGTAGCTAAGAAATGGCAGAGAACTGGAGGAAATGTCAAAGAAAAGAAGGACAGTTAAAAGGTTGGTGAGAAGACAATATAATGACATCTCAATAAACCTGTTGAACTTCCTTATGGTCTTCCGGAGTAACCTGAATTATAACACATGATTTGGCATGTGTTTTTTTGCTCTTTTGCATATGCCATCAGAAGCATATACATACAAAAAGGATTATATAGATTTGGTCATTAGACTCAACTATGTAATTTTCATATGCTGGTACATTTTAGCACTCAAGTAGAAGATGGACTATAGGATAAACTGCAGTCCTTTAATTCATTTTTTTCTTGAATTTGTTCTAACTCTTTTGTTCTAACTCATTTATTCTAACACTTATTTATGTTTCTGACATTTATTTTAAAACCATTAAACTAGATTCC